TGGACCCCACTGGTCACAACTTCTCACCAGAACTCCAGTGGATATCAGAATATTTCACAATCTTAAATATCACTTGGTTGGGGGTGTTTTTGACTTTGATAATTGGTTACAATAATCGACACAACTGTTTTATGCATATCGACTTGTTAAGGTTTGAAGGCTGACGGTATCGACGTTCGCGAATTGTACGGCGTATATTAACGCAAGATCTTATACCAACAACTTCTATAGTATTCGCTCTTCGTGTACCAAATACAAAGCAAAAGACCAGATTTAGTCGTCCAAAGTACGTGATACATTTCGGGACCAAATAGTAAACCGTATAGAGTGCTTGACTAGCAAGTGATCGTGCACGCACGTGACACGATGGAGTACCAAATGGCAAGGATGCCTAACCGGAAGCCTTCAGCTAAACAAGTCGACTTAAACAGTGAGGGTCAGCATCTAATGTTGAGTGATAATTGCTGTGGTCAATAATTTTGGGGAATTATTTACCTTTACAAAAGGTTTATTATTTTTTAAGTTTATGATATACAGAAAAATAAAGAAAGTTAAAAAGGCGAGAATTTAATAATTACTTTTATTATAAGTAACTTAATTTTTGACGATGAACATGAGTTAAACGCTTCAGGAGTAAAAGTAAGGTACCAGATGGCTAACTGTCAACATGTATGATACAACTTAAAAATAGGTACAAGTTATAGTATTTTCAAATCTAAGGAACTGGTCCTTTTTATTCATCATGAGGCTAGTCAGGTTCTATAATTCAACAATATGGATGAGACTGAGAAACAGGAGTCTATCAACACAAGAAGTTAGGGCGATACAATTAGCAAGGGAAATCTTAAACCTGGCTTCCTAGCAGTTACCATCAAAGCATATTTAGAGTCCTTAGAAAGCTCGTGTTTTTCCCAGTACCTATAATTACGATCACTCGGCACCTTAGTCAGAAACCTCACCTTATGATCGATGACTGAAATAATTTGTTTACGACAATTGGTCTTAGGATAGTATACTTCACTATTTGATTCCAAGCTTAGGAATGGGTAATAGCATCATGAGTGAAATTCTGCTGGGAGAAAGTTGGCAGGACAACTTTAGAAGTCAATAGTTTCCTTTTGGTGTTTGAAGCTTGTATGCCTCACCGTTTGATCGAAGTCAAGGTCTTCATACTTCTTTCTGTCAATCTTCTGTATCCAGTAGTGTCTACAAACTGATTGCCCCTTGTTCTCACTATTTCCATTGTTTGACCCATATAATCTTATAACTACCTGCAATCTAATTCAGCTACTTAATTTAATTCAATTTTAGATTTTCCCGTCGATTGATTGGACCGAAGTGCTCGGTCTTAGGGTGACATATTGGCCTCTTGTGCAGGTGCTTCAACGATGTCTGGGCATGCAATTATAAGTTAATTGGTGGATGGTGACTAGCAGTGGAATCTAGGATGCACGTTTCGCCCTATTTAAGACCCGTCGTCTGTATCTGCATTCCCCACTGAGTGGGCTCAAACTCGGTGCCCATAATTTCAAACTCCAAAGCGTTATCCACTGGACCGCTTGGGCCACAAGAATCACCTCTTGTGCAGCTGGTCTTGTTAATTATTTGATTAAATTGTCAGATTTTCCCGTCGATTGATTGGACTGACTAGTGACTGATAGTTACCATCCACCAACTGACTTCAGGTAACATGACCAGACATCGTTGGAGTATCTACACAAGAAGCCGGCAGACATGTCAACCTGAGACGGAGCACTTCGGTTCAATCAATCGACGGGAAAATCTAAAATTCAATTAAATAATTAATATGACCCGTCTCACAAGAGGTGGCTCTCGTGGCCGAAGTGGTCTAGTGGATAACGCTTTGGCGTTTGGAACTATGGGCACTGGGTTCGAGCCTAGGTGGGAACATCATCATTGAATGCGGAATGCAGACACATTCAGCTGACGGGTCCTAAATAAGATTCCACTACTAGTCACCATCCACCAAGAAATTCAGCTATCTACTGTTATAAATCCGTGGAGTTACGTTATATGAATAGTCAAAATCACATTGAGAGATGAATTCTCACGACACTTTTAACCGACACAAACTTTTGCTAAAACTGTTGGGAGTCCTTTAGTTTTGCTCATTGTCGTTCCATTACAAACGAGAGATGCTGTAATAACATTTGTTTTGAAACACTTGCAAGTTAACCATGTTTCTGCTTCTGGTTACAAAGAAGCAAATAAAAAATAAAACCGACCACTGTTCAGTGTCGCCCTGAAACCCATTAGTTTTGTGAATCACCGTTAGTTGAGACTGAACTGCATTTTCAGCGTAGGAGTTTGCACAGAAGCTCAGCATTTTAAGTTACCACACTTCAAAAAGCACGCACTAATGTAAGGAAAAAATCAAAGGGAACTAAAATGCATGCAAATGTAAGAGAGAAAGAATAACTCCATGAAGAATGATGGGACTTTACTTCATTGATAAATTCATGAAGAATGACTGCATCTGTACCACGATTTTGAGCAACTGGTTCTCAGCATCCCAAGGACCACAACTAGGTATAGTGTACTTTCTTTCCTAGATGGCTCAAAACAACTGTCCAAGACATTATGGATTGATTCCAGGTTTTAGTTTGACCGCCAAAAAATCTTTTTCAATTCAACCCTATGTTGGCTGACATTCCTTGTTGAGGTATCTCGGGATGCACAAAACGTGTCCCAGTAGTCTCAACAGAGGTAGCTTCCCAGCCTCATCGACTCACTTCCCTTTCTCACATAGCACTCTACGGCTAACCTCAATATTACTCACCATCTTATTCCACTTAACACGGGAGATAGAAGGTAGACAAATATAGAAAAAGACAGCTACCCTGTTCCAATCTTCCACTTCCATTAGCCATGTCTTACAGCCTCAGAAAAGGACAGAGCGAACTACTGAGCAGCACACATGTCTATTGATTGATATCGCATCTACGCCAGAGATGACGTAAGTTGATAAATGAAACACTAAACCCTTTGTCTCGTCGCCTAGACTTCATCAGCAATCACTCGATTATGGCCGACGCAACTTCCTAAATAAGTAAAGCGGGTAACACGCTTTACCATTTCTCTCAACCATCCTTAAATTGGGAGTAGGGACAAATCAGTCTTCCGGCATCATTTTACATTTGACAGGGGAGAATTGGAAGCCGAACATACCACTGTCACTGTTCAATCTGTGCAGAAGACTATACATTTTGTCAGGGTCTTCACCTCGAAGGACTTTATCATCTGTTTCCTCTAAATCGACAAGACTGTTTTTTGGAGAACAGATCAGTCGTTGAGGTTGATTAGGGTCACATCTATTGGCAAATCTTTTATGAAATTATGTAAAAAAAAGGAGACATTGGACATCTCTGACGCCCTTCACTGGTTATTATCACTTCAGATGATAACTCCAGACAGGCTTCTACATGTCTGCATGAATTTCAGTACAGTTTTTTGACTACTGCTGCAAAACTTTCCAATTGCTCCCTTTACGATCAGACATTTCCCTAGGGCCTATCGGTAGACTGAGTCAAATGTCACCTTCAGGTGAAGAAATGTGAAAAACGTCGGATGTTGGTAAGTATTCCTACGTTCCAGGATCTGGCAACTGGCAAATCTTACCTGTAATCTTTGCATTCATATAGAAAGGTTTTTCATTCATCAATATACACGAGACAAAAAAATCATCCTAAAAAGTAAATGGACCAATCCACTTACCAGTTTGATTTCTTTAAAATATGAGGGCTTATCAAGACTCCAATCACCTCTGTGACTTCATCCACAGAGTGACTGTTAACCTTCCCAGTGGTCACTCTACAGTGTCATCAAGTCAAGTAATAACTTAACATCGTTTCCTAAGAAATTGTATAGATTAGAAGTACAAGCAGCATTTTTAAGCTTAGATTCTCATAACTTTGAAAAGTATATATCTTTAGATTATTAAAGTGACATATATCGATAGTTCATCTTCACAGAATGAAGCATTCATATATAACTATAATTTATAAATTAATTATGGCTTCGAGTGTTCAGCAGAAATAACCAACATAAGTTCTCTGATTGGACACTAGTAACTAGTGTGATGTGTCTAATCCTTTATTTGGTGCAGACTGAATTCTACCAGTCAGGTTCACGATGTAACCATCATTCTAGGTAGCCCACGATCACGCTGCACATTGATTTGATGATATTAGATGGTTGGAGAAAATCGGCAGGAAGTCTTGGACCTTGGTTTCGTGCTAGCTGGCACTAGTCAGCAAGGCGTATCTGCAACCAACTTGAAGGAACTCATTTCCCCTCTGAGATTTAGAACCCGCGTCACTCCAGTGAGTACTGCAGTCAGAGACGTTATCACTGTGCTATTCAGGCTCATGATTGACCTCCTGTAGGACTGCATTGGATACTTTGATTGGACACTAGCAACTAGTGTGATGTGCCTAATCCTTTCTTACGTGCAGACTGAATTCTGTGGATTTACCAATATATATATGTCGTTAAGACTAGTTAGTGGCATTAACACACAAATGCAAGCATACACACACAAATGTAATCATTCATTACGCACTTGTTATAAAAAATGATGATAATAATAATAAAGATATTGAGTATAATTCAGAAAAAAGAAAGTCTGGACATTAATATCTATATCAAAAAGAGTATTTTTCTTGAAAATAATTATACGCTGAAATAAAGAAATACTGCAAGTAGTATCTTACAACTAAAAAATTCAAAAAGTGCGGTTTTAAAAGTTGTATATACTCTGTGCACATAACCATTTCAAATAATTAGCAAAATAAAACAACTGAAGTTTGTGACAAATCCACTGTTTAAATAGTTGAGCAGTTAAATTCTTCAAAATCGAGGACAGATGTAAAAAAAACACACTAAATGAATTGCTGTAGTTGTAGTTATCAGTTATCGTGTAAAATGAAATCATAAAATTAACAAAAGCATTCCATCTATTGTTCTGTTTGCCTTTTTTCTTATTGTTCGGCAGTGTTTATCTCTTTCAAAGAAAAACATCTTTGAGCCATTGATTGACTTGCCATAGTGAATAAATTGACTGCATTCGCGGCTAAGCCTAAACATCGCCAACGTTGACGAGCTAGTGTATCACGCATATTTGATTCTATCATTGGATAAATATCTAGTGTAGAACTTGTTTCTAAGCGTATCCATGGATGATCTAACGACTGTTCCAGCGTAGCTCTTTCTTCTGGATCAGGTTTCAGCAGAGAGGAGATGAAATTTTTAGCTGATTTTGATATATGATCCCAGTGTGGATGATGAAAATGATAAGTCCCTGACATGATCTGTTTTTTAATCTCATTGTCATCTTGATTTACTGAATAAAATGGTGGATAACCACAGAGTAGGATATACGAGACAACACCAATACTCCAATTATCGACTTCTGGACCATAACCAGATTTTGTTAGTTTACTTTTAAGTAATTCTGGAGCTGAATAATCCACTGTACCACAATTTGTCATCATTTTTGGTTGAATTTCTCTAGATAAACCAAAATCTGTAATTAGTAATTTAGAATCATCAGTTGGTTTTTCAAACAATATATTCTCTGGTTTAATATCACGATGTACATAACCGGCTGCATGCATATATTGTACACCGGATAACATTTGTGCTATAATAACAGCTGCATCACGTTCACTAAATTTTCCACGTTTAATTATTCTATCAAATAATTCACCACCTTCAGCTAATTCCATAACTAAATAAATTTGATCATTTTCATCGACAAGATCATATAATTTTACAAGATTTGGATGTTCTAGCGCACGCATAATAGACGCTTCACGATACATTAATTTTTTAATCTTTTTTTCAACTTCTTTTGATGAATACTTTTGATATGTGGGTTTTGTACGATCAACACGTTTGATGGCTACAGATTTACCTGTGTGTAAATCTTTTGCTTTAAATACTTCACAGAATCCACCATCACCTAATCGACTAATTATTTTATAACGATCACTTTTCAATGGATCAATTTTAGCTTTACGGGCTAATTCTCTTTGTTGTATAGTTTTACGACTCATCACTTAGATATATATATCCGAACATAAAAAAATTAATTTGTTTGGAACATTTGTATAGAATAGTAATAATAGTAATTATTATTGTGATATACTAATGGTTTAAATTACGCTGAGGAAGAATAGTATTGATTGGTTGAGTAATCAATATACACATTGTAAACAATTCACTGATATATTCATTTATTTAACTAGTACTTATTATGCGTAACTGTATTTGATATAAAATGATTGAGGCTAACTGTGTAATGAAGTGGATATACTGACATTGTGATAAACATTTGCAAATTTAATCATTTGAAAGAGTAAGTTATTTTCACATTGGAGTTTGACTTGATGAGAATATTATTATAATCCCTTTGGGTTCTGAGTGGGACATTAGGCATATCTCCATTTCACCATGTTCCCTGCAGTCCTCTTAAGCTGGCTGCACGACTAACCATAAGCCTTTATCTACTGCTTACACCATCTCTTCCATGTTACCCTTGGACACCCAACTTGCTGTTTCTCATTAAGGTTCTACTCGAGGATCTGGTTTGTGATGTCACTCACAAGGTATTCTCAGCATATTCTCCAGTGTATGTTTCAGTTGATAGGTTCATGGTTAATTCGCCACCAGATTTTTTCCTTGTTTCTAATCCTTTCTTGCCTTCTGATCTTCAGTATGGAGCTAAGGTAGTTCTTGATGAAGGCCTGCAGCAGCCTGTCGGAAATGCTTCTGATGACGTGAGTGCCAAGTCTCTGAACAATATAGAAGCACTGACAGACTCGACATTAAGGGAGAAGATTTGTGGCTCAGTTGGATTATTTGCAATTAATAGTGTTCTCTGAGCTGGTTGGTTTAGTCGCGGAGCTTTCGTCGTCCTTCTGGACAGCATCTTCAGCGGAATTTTTAGTATACTAGAGATTGCGCTGAAAGGGGTTGTTGTGCTCGGTCTCAGGTTGACATGTCGGCTTCTTGTGTAAATACTCCAACGATGTATGGTCATGTAACTTCAAGTCAGTTGGTGGATGGTAACTATCAGTCACTATTCGGTCCAATCAATCTACGGGAAAATCTTACAATTTAATTAAATAATTAACAAGACCAACTGCACAAGAGGTGACTCTCATGGCCCAAGCGGTCCAGTGGATTTTGAAATTATGGGCACCGAGCTCGAGCCCAATCACTGGGGAATGCAGATACGTCCAGATGACGGGTCTTAAATAGGACGAAATGTGCATCCTGGATTCCACTGCTAGTCACCATCCACCAGTTGATTGGAAGATACATTCCAAGATAGTATTTTTACACAGTAGGTAAGTTTGTTCAGAGCAGCACCAAGACAAGCATCCTTTGTAAGCGACCTTCCACTTTACCAACTGGGCACCAAGACATACTCCCTGATACTACTGCTTATATTCAGGAATGTCTTCATTTAATTTATTGCATAAAATCAAATCATATTCGGGTACAGTATTAATTTCTATACTTATCTGGTTATAAGCATGCTGAATACGGCTTTCCAACTACATTTCAACTGAGTGTAGTTACGATTAGTGCTCATGGAACGGAATTAATTTATTTGAATTTTTGTAATATAACTGTATTTCTGTTTTGTTTCTCTTGTATGTTTCTTCACAGTATTGTAACATGAGTTGGTGCATCGCTGTGCATGTTGGTTTTATTGTTTTTCTGTACTTGAATCACATCAAATGGACCGCAGTGCTTATTCAACACTTTAAGCCTAACATTTTCATAACTTTGAATATTTCTACATTTATCGTGAGCGATTAAAAGTAAAAGCGATGACTGAATACATGGAGTAATTTCATATCTTGCATTTTTCATTAGCTATGTCTTACAGCAGTAAGTTGTATCAGTATGAACTGTAAGCCAACTGAACTTTTCTTCAAAATGTTCTACTAAACATTTCCAGTCGTTTCACTTTAGACATTTTCAAGTCTCATCCTTTTTGAAGATCTTTCTTATTTATCATAGCATTCTAAGAACTCGCTTTCCTAATGGGTCGATTACTACCTATCTCTGGTGTCTTCTCCATTTCTTTTGTCACCCAAGATCTTCGGCTGGTGTTTCAATGGTTTCTAGTAAGCGGATAAGTAGACTTTCGAATCTAGCCGTGGTGGAAGTTTGTTGGGATTCGAGTTAAAGTGAAAGTTCAGAGACCTACTCTTATTTAATAAGCTTTGACTGATGGTTGTCATCAGTCTCTACTAATGTCGGATTTCCTAAGGATCAGTATTGCTCGTATGCTAAGATGAATGTTATATTAATTCCTGCGTAAATAGGGATATGACAATTTCATTAGAACGATACACACGAAAAGATTTCACAGCTATTTGTACATTATTTATGTCCGGTAGTGGAGACCAGCACGTAGTTGGAGTCCACACAATTGTTCTATAAGGAAGGGAAATCTTAAACAAATCCTTTCTACTGATGAATCATTTTCCGCGATCAACCTGATGTCCGTGGCTGACAAGTTGCATAATTGTATCCATGTATTTTAAGTTAATGCTGACTAAGAACAAGAGATTATGTGAAAAAATCAAAAGGGGGTGACCACCATTTTCGACTCTTTACAATGACACTTCGTAGCCAGGTCAAGTATAATTCTCCAAACAGCTGAGATCCCTTAATGAAGCATTAAAATTACCTAAAAATATGATCACATCTGAGCGTCTTACATTTTGCCTTTCTTATTTATATTTAAATATAATCAAACTACTTTGAAATTTGTCTTTCATTATTCTGATACCTGGATGTGTGGTGAGAGCTGTCTACTAGCCAAATTGGTAGACAGTAATTTACGTCAATATTTACGTTCCCAAGATTGTCGTGAGAAAATGTGAACAAAGATTGATTCAAAACCGACCACAGCAGACTTTGCGTAGGCGGATACAGTTAACATATAGAGGATTTGACAATCAAGAAACAGTCACAAATAGATGAAAGATTAACTTTACGTGAGAAACAACCAATCGGAAGACTGTGTTTGTTTACTTAAATATCCATAGTAATGTACATGAAAATATATAAATATGCGTTGATTTCCTTAATAAACGATCTGTTGCCTGACCCTTGCTTTCTGTCGTTACAGAAGCAGTTCAGTTTTCTTGTTATCTGTAACAGATACTGAACAGTTCCTAATGTATGACTTTATGTCTATGACTACTTAGAAGCTGAAGTATGTCAACTCCAATGCAAATAAAAGTATATTTCCTTCAACTCTCAGTGTACTTGTGCGTCGGTAGCACAGCGGTTATGACTCTTGCCGACCATGTACATGGTCCGGGTTCGATCCCCTGCCGACGCACACCTGATATCTATGGTCGGCCTGCTAAATTCGGGCTACCGATATCACATGCTGGAAATCCCATACTTGTACCGAAAATACGGTGTGGAATCAAGCTGTAATCACGAAAATAAAAGAAAATACTCAGACCAGACAGCTGTTCAAAAGCCAAATCGAAACAACTAACTTACCGTCTAGCTAGCTTGAATGCTTACACAAACAACCAAACTTAATGTGACAGAGTGCCAAATGGCATGAATGCTTGACCACATACCTGTAGATTAACCAGTAGACTTGAATATTTTTGATTGGACACTAGTTAGTAACTAGTGTGATGCATCTAGTCCTCTGTTTGATGCAGACTAAATTCTGCCAGTCACGTTTGTAATGTGACGAGTGCTAACTAGCACGAAACCTAGGTCGAAGGCTTCCTGTCGATTGCCTCCAACCATCTAATACCAAACTTAAACATTGCTGAAGGGTAAAACTGTAGGCCAGCAGTTTGGGGAATTAATTTCGTAGTGTTTTTATGATATCGAACAGACTAAATAGGGTAAAATTAGACTACACCACAACACCTAAGCTTCATTTCACCATTAGAAAAATTTGCGAATATATAACTTTCTAAAATGGCAACAGAGATCTCTGGGAGCGAACCAACCAGGAACCGATTGTGAAACAAATAGGCAGAAGGAAATGGAGATGGATTGGCCATACTCTGAGGAAACCATCAAGTGAAATCACTAGACAAGCCATTGCTCGAGTGGAACCCGAGAGGGAAGCGGCGAGTTGGTCGTCCAAGGGTGATTTGGAGGAGGTCATGCGAAGAAGAGATGAAAACGTGTGGGCAGACTTGGAGCCAGGTGAAGACTCTAGCAGAGAACCGAACGCAATGGAGATGCACGGCTGAAGCCCTATGTTCCTCTAGGAATTAAAGGAAACAATAATAATAATGGCCACAAATACCTATTCGTACTTATATTTATAGAGGTGTATTACAGGGATTCACCAGAAATGTAATTAACATTTCACAATGGATAGCTTAATAAATGCATTTTTGTCTAATGAAACTACAATTCTGTTGGTGATTTCACGTTGTTATTAGCAACAAAACAAGCTAATATAATATATGGTACTAGCATATGTAAGTATTGTTTGAATATATTGAATGACAAATAATTTGTAAAATATAAATAATTCATTGTATTTATATTGATTAGTTACCGGGTTATTATCGTAGTCCTTAGTGTTGGTGTTAAAAAAATCCCATAAGACAACTAGCAATGTGGTCGATGAGACAATTCAGTCAGCATGCCAAAAACTACTCTCCAATGGCCAATCAATATAGTCATTATAGTCGTAAATGTGGTCAGTTGGGAGCTTCAACAACTCGCTAGTAAAGTTACTGACTGCAACACTTTATAACTTGAGTCCAAACCTCAGAATTCACTTTAATATCTTCGAGGTTACAGATACGTGTTGCTGACGCGTACTCATAGGCAAGGAACCTACTTTCATGGTTTCATGCTGACTGTCTCGAAAAATCGAACATTAATTCATTCTATTTGGCTTTTTTTATTCATTTGAACAGAAGCTAACTGAGGTTAATTGTTAAAACATACGTATAGATTTATAACAATAAAGTTATTATGAGACTTTAAGATAGATTTAAGAATAAGTGAAAAACAAAAAGTTGATGGTGACTTC